GGAAATGAAGGAAGTCACTTAGCCGCTTTAGAATTTGGTAACTCTGAGAGTTCACACGGGTTCACACTCCGTCGCATATCCACAGATTTCCTGAGTCAGCCTGGTCTCGTTTTCTCCTGCTACAGAACAAAAGCAGAGCATATCTGTCATTTAGTCTTCCTGTCGCGCGCGTGAGAACGTTGCGTAGGTTATTATTAATTTTTTCGTCATTTGTTGCGCCATCTGGGTGGAGAAGAGGTTGTCTTGCTTGACGCAAACTACTCAAAGAGGATCGGCAGGTGTTCCTCACCTGTTACCGTTATTCTTAACGTGTCCTGAAACCAGAAAAAAAGCCACACCAGATCTAATGTTATCATAAAACACTAAGCCAAGTCTCGGTGCCCAGACGACAAATCCTCACTTTTCACTAAAGTGTCTAGCAGAATGAATAAAGATGAAAGAAAGGAGCAATGAAAGAAAGCAGCAAATAAATAAAGAAACACAAAATAAAGAAATTATTCTTGTGCTTCAGAAGCAGGCTACACAATTGCCACTTTAGTTTTCAATAGACATACATCCTAATCAAAATGACAGTTGTAAATTATTTTCAAAACGTCCATAAATTATTCACGTTGATGAGATTATGTCCGACTGTACAAATGCGCCATGTCCGAAAATACTACATGTATTTCGATTGAACTTTTTATTTTTAGTATATATTTAACTATTGCCCCTTGTTAAAATCGTAGCCTGAAAAATTATCGTTCTACTTTAATTTTCATCGGTCATTTTGGTACGTACAATATTGCCTACCTTCACTTTACGTGACACAAACTGTCGAACTGTACTTACACAAAACTGTTTTATCATACAAAAATTGGTGCATTTCATTATACAGGCCTACATTCTCGATAAGACGTTACTGTTTGACGTATTTTTTAACATAAGGAAAATATTCATAACAGTGTAACTGTATAGTAAATATATATTCCGTGGTTCGAAGTCCTTCTTGAGAAGCTAATAGTCATTCACCTAAACAATATAGTTCCCGCCCTTTTACTGTGTTACAAAAGCCCGCCACAAATCCCTGTCGTTTGCAAGAAGGAGCCAGTCTACGCCGTCATATCACATTTCTTTAACTTCCCTTTGACTTATATGTCGCAACACAATATTTATGCTTGAATGTAATCGGATCTGTTACATAGAAACATAAAGACCAATGCACTGTAAGTCAAAGCCATTCGTCCATCAGTCTGGAATCATAATTATCACACGAACCGCCTATTTGTTTTGGACGACCCTAGAACTCTGTGAAGTGAAATAAAAAAAAAAGACTTCGCCAGAGCTGAAACACGTAATAATCTACGAGTTTCTTCAGTTGACCTCCTACTGCGCGTGCAGGTTTCTCTATTAGCCTCAGCAATGCGGTCTTCCTTGAATGAAAAACAGGCCTACTTACGTATACTTTACAATTGCAACGCATACTTCTGATACCTCACCACAAATTCATATAATGTAAAACGTCAGCTTATCGTCCACCCAGAGATTCTTCAGAAGCTGTTAGGTTCGAATGAACCAACCTCTCGGATGTTAGTGACCAAAGGCATCTTCTAATTATAATAGATCCTCACTGGCGTATGAAGTGTGTGTGTTTTTATTTATATTAGTTCGAAAATAGAAAGAAAGAAGGTGGAAGAACAAACAAAAAGAAATAATGGAAGGAGAAATAGAAGAAAAGAAAAGAGAAGGAAATAAAAGAAAAATGTAAAGAACGCAAGAAAGACGCTGCTCGTATTCAATCTGGTCACGTATGTCCGCTTTCAAGTTAGAGAAGGCAACTCTTCATTCACTCAAATATTTGTCTTTTCGCTCTTCAGTTTTGACTTGGAAGGCGCAATTTTTAGACACATTCGCTCACGAAAATATGTATTTACCATAAAGACGTAGGTGCAATAGTGTGTCTGTTATGCTCAGGGAAGTTGGTTTTATTGGGCAGAGTTAGCATCATTCTAAAAGACACAGATTCAAATACTTTGATTTATTTTACTGCTTAGTAAGCCTATAGCTCAATTTGTGATCTGTCGAACGTGCCCCAACATCTGAATAAGAAATGCAAATGTACGAACAGAAACCTTTTAACTGTGATGAGATAATGTCGTGACTTCCGCGTAAACTTAACTGTCCTCAGATCGACACCATAAAAGTGCACCATTTCACCATTTTCGGCCTGTAGTTTTATATAACAAAACTTCTACAAAATATTCAAGTCTTTTGCTCTTCTGGGAAGAAGCTTGGGTCATATGGCCTCAGTTTATAAAAACAGTAAAATTTCACTAATACTAACAACCACTCCTACAAATTTTCATTTAAAGCTGGGCCATTTAACTTGTGAAAGTCAGAGAAAGTGCGCAGAACAGTTATATTAAAGAGTATCTGTATGTGGTAGCCCCTCAGGTAATCTTTCTTTCTATTTGACGTCATTGAGACAACCAGCGTCCCAAGTGTCTACTTATGTACGCATACTATTCATATAGTGCAGACAACGTGAAGAGGAAACGTCTTCATTGACATGAACCTTCAGAATCAAATGTAAGAATGCGTCTGACTTGGAGGTCTGATGCCTGGTTTGAACATCGGCAACAAGCCTAAAGACTGAAGTATTCCTCAGTCAACAAAGCCCTTTCATTGAAAAATACACGACATCGAATTTAAAACCTTCTCGTTTCATTCGACGATAAATAACGTATGGAATTTATACAGCCGTTGAGAAATCCCTAAACCAACTTATGTAATGTGCAGTCACGAATATGAATTTGTATTTCAGCAAATTCACAGACTGCGGTCATGTGCACTAACTCAGAACTCACCACGATCTCTTTCCGCTCACTTCCCTATTTACCGACGAGTTCCGGATTCCAGGGTCGACATAGGTGACAGACTTTCACCGGCCTGAAGCAGGATTGCCAATATTTGATTAGAATACTATGCATTACATAATAAAATGCAGACCATTCTGCGGTCGTGTGGAAATACGGAAAGGACACGGGTACTTTGATGGCCAAAACGATAATCGACAGGGGAGAGCGATTAGAAGAATGGCAGATTTGAGGCATGAGAGACAGAACAAAGCGTCTAGAATGTTGGACAGGTACGGAGTACGAGAATGAAGAACATGCGAAAATGAGACGCACGAAGGAAGAGGTAAAGCAGAATGATAGGACGAGTGGGACAAGGAGAAAGAACACGATGAAGGAAGAGAGTAGGTAACAGATCTTTCTTCATTATTTAGGTGTGAGAGTGGTTTTGGTATGTGGTGGGTAATGGTACGAAATTTTGAAACCGCAAACAGCTCTACAACGCACTGAAGTATAGTGGAGATTGCCGAAATTTGACGCCAGTTGTGGGTTACACTCCTGAGAAGCCTTGCGCCTCTATCGCCCGATTCTTTATTTTTAATAATTTGTATTATAAGAAGACCTGAAATAAAAATCTCCAGTAAATCAACAACCATTTTAGTGTGCTTAGAACCAATAGTATGAGCTGTAGTATGTTGTGTTGGCAAATAATTAATCATTAGTTTGTCAAGTTTGCTTCTTTCTCCTGCTAGACACACGGGATGACTGGATTTCATTAACGAGAGGTAATCGTAAGTACACCGATTTCCACTTACACATCGCGGTAAATTTGATTGTGATTTTTGTGCATAGTTCAAAAGTAACAACTTGTAAATATTTTGGTCATTAAACAATACGCAAGCCAAAAGTGTCAGCGTCTTCTGATTTCTTATTTTGCTCTAATTTTTTTAGTTTTCGTCATATAGGCGAAGGTCAGGGGGGGGGGGGGGGGGGGAATGTGTAATGTGAAATTAAAAAATCTTATTAATTTTCACAAATTTGAACTTTTTTATTCCTGAAACATGTATTTTGAATAAAACAAACTGTCAAAAAAGTAAGGAAAAATGTGTTTAAAAATTTTCAACATTACAAAAATTGGCGTCTAGTATCGGACACTGCTTTACTTATAATGTTTTTCTTAGTTTTGATAGAAACTTTCAGTTTTTATGAATCTTAACGTCTTTTGCAGGAATCACATTTGTAATATGGCATATTTCTCTCAGTATCGGCTCATTTTTCATGCGCCCAACCACCACAAGAAAGACATTGTATCCAGTCCTAGTCAAAAATTTCTGAACAGATGGTGCACGCTGTTGTATATCTTTCATTTGGCTGATTAATTCTTCCTCCAACTCGTCAGTGAAATTTCTCCGAAACCAACCAATGTTGGGTGTCATTTTCACACCATTCCCCCTTCTTGCAATGTTGTTAGTCTATCTCCAAGAGAAATTAGGGGGACTGAAAAAGTATCTGCTGCTTCCCTTACCGATATCTCCTTATTCCTAACCTTACCTATAGCAAGTTTCATTTGATCTTCTGTCCATTGTCCCCGTTTCTTTTTGCATTGGGTTCGCTGTTCCTCAATCTAATAGCAAATCTAATTTTAATCCCTGAAACAAAATAAAGAAACCCCAAAACCAGTTATCTCTCCAATAGTAAGGATAACAGAGTTTATATGTAATCATAAGTGGTAAAAACAGAAGCAAACTAAATTGTATTTATTCTTAAATAATATTTTCGAGAATTGTTGTATGTCCGGTACTACCAGAAAGCACACTGTCCGATATTAGACGACAGACATGTAAAGAGAAAATGGCTGCTGTATATCCAGTGCTTACTGCTGGAACAAAATCATTATACACATCTAGTCTGTAGTTGATACAACAAAAGTAAAATAAATTGAATAATTATTTCACTTACCAGAATTAGTTGATACAGCCTTCCAAAGATAAACAATGTAGCTCGAAATTTGTACAAATTGAATGATTCACTCACAGCGGCTGACCGGCTCAACGGATTTACTCCAACTAATGACTGTCGTCTGTGATGAACATAGACAAGACTCCGATACTTGACAAGTGTCACTAACTGACGACGTTTCGGAAAAGTAAGCACTGTCCGATAATGGACGCTGTCCGGTATTATACGACCTTCCCCTACGTTATATTTAGTCTCGCTTATTAGTAAATTTAATGTAAAATTAATTGTGCCAATTTTAAGAAATTCAAAGAAATTATTATGTCTTGTGTTCTTCATTCCTGCAATTTGTTGTCCGTTTCAATCATAACATTTCTGCGTACAATTACCTCACACAGGTGGGAAATTGTACGCAATGCATGTTTCTTCAAGAATAGCATTTCTTATATTAGATATCTGACTTTGGCACTTATACTATGATAATATCAGTTAAATTTCCTTCACGAAATATTCCTAAAAATCTGGAAAAGTTCAGTAAATACGAAGATTGCTGTCATCTGGGTTGTTGCGCCGTATAGTTTGGTAGATTTACCAGACTACACGGCGCAACAGCCCAGAAGACAGAAATTCTCAGACTCAGCTGTAAAAAAATTAAATTCTACATATTCAGAAATACAATTTCATAACTGTTCAGATTTAGGCGCGTGCAATTACACCTATTCTCCCCTCTACGAATTTCCAACTGGGACAGATGGAACCATGCTTACGGATATTTTATCTTCATCTCTCTTTGTACCCTACAACAAATTACGTAATATAATATGCAATTAATCATTAATTGTCTACATAACTATGTTACATGTATTAGGCTTGCTACACAAACAGGAATACTATTAAGTTCTGAATTTAAAAAAAATGTGTTTCCGTTCATAGGTCGCTGATGGTTCATACACACAGCGATATAAAAAGTGTATAATCCAAAGAGACACAGAACATAACACAGAACTTACACACCCAAGTTCAGTTACAAGTCTGTGAAAGTGCTGACTAATATTGCAGCACTTAATTGACAAGTGGCTTTCTAAATAAAATGTACAAGTTCTGTTGGTGGTAAGAAACCGCCGAAACCTGTCCAGGTCGAACAGATCGTCAATTACCTACAAACGTAAGGAATAAAAATTTGATGCTTCGTTCTAGTAATATGGTTTTCCTTTACGCTCTGCTATGTTGGGTCGTGAGACTGGGTCTTGCGAACTGTTTGGGAAAATACTTGAAGTGAAAGTTTCTGTGATGACGTAACACAATTCATATTCCAATCCTGCATACCTATGCAAGAAGACGGATGAAAGACCTTGAGACCTGATTGATAATGCAACATTATTACTAATAAGAACTTGTAGCGTGTATTAGCAGATATATAAAGTGGTCATTCAGTATGAATGTTGATGGTATCCGGTTGTACATGCACTTTACAAGAAATGTTGAGCGTTCAACTGAAAATTAAAGTTCATTTCGCGGGTTCAGAAAAAAAAATAGGATAAAGGGGAATACTAAGAGGGAGAACAGGAAGAAAGAAATAAAAATGAAAGAGACAGAAAGATGGGGAAGAAACCCAATAAACGTAGGGTAAACTTTAAGCAATAAAGGAGGCTTAAAATACCGACACAGAGAAATAATGGACAAAAGGAAGACAGGGAGAAGGGCAGACAGATAAATAAGACAAATTTAACATGAAGAAAGGTAGACAGGTAGGATAGAGAGAATTTATAGATATAGCTAAATCCTTCTCCAGACGCTAGTGCTCTCATCTAGTCTTAAGAAATTACCCGCCTTTCATGGAACCAGAAGGTTCATTACCTTATTCACAAGAATCCGTTTTGAGGCTTTGTGTAACATTTTGAAACATGTGGGGATTTGTTATTTCCCCGACTCAACTCTTAAATTGGAGTACCACCCATTGTCGACTGTCCGCAACTACTTATTCAATATATTCACAGATATCCTCTATATCTGCAGGCCATCTCCTCCATTTGCAATCTGAGGACGCGTCATGCCACTTTTTTAAAATCATATTTAAAATGTAACTTCTGAAAGGAAATTAATTTATTTCAATGAAAATATCTACATGGTTAGGATGTTTCTAAATTAACGTGTGTGTGTGTGTGTGTGTGTTGTGTTTTGGTAGATAAATTGCTAACAACTTTAAAGTAGGAGTTCACATAAAAGGTTAAAAAAGGCAAAGCTATCTCGTTATGCTCCATGTAGGCGCACAGGGGAGAGGTAGTAGCTCCTACTTATTCTCTACCTCGACACTAGATGGGGGTGAGTGGTTAGCGTCGGCCCCGACCGCGCTTTACTCCCGGGGAAAGGACCCCCGGTAGGTAATGGACAGGAGGTTGGGTGGGACCCAGAGCCGGTCTGGGCGCAGAGGCTAGAAGAAAATTCTCTGTCCCTGTCGCGGATCGAATCCCGGTCGTCAAACCCGTGGTCAGTCCTTATACTTATTGAACTACCCGGCTTACAGGAATTCACATAGCCTAAGTCCTGATGCATCACAATTTCCAGATTTACGGTAATACGTCACGAAGAGAGAATATGGTGGAATTGCATGATCTTATTCTTGCCAAGGTTATCTTCCGTTTCTGTAAGGCGAGTGCGTGTTTGTTAATTCGAGTGATATGTTCAATGTTCGTATGCCATGAGATCCAAAAGCAAAACTGGTGGAAAACGGGATCTGTGGAGAGATACGATCGGCAAAGCGACTTGGTCCCCTGAGTGCGTTTAAAAGTGAATTAACAGACAGTACAAAATATTAGGCGGGATCTACACGAAGACACAACTTGTGGTAGGACAAGATTCGTTTGAGAACTTTGTCTTCCGGTGTTGGCTGCCGCGTCTGCTCGGTCAAGACTGTAAGATTATCAAATGAATTTTTGTCGTACTGCATGTTGTGCGTCTTCGGTGCAGACTCTGCCTTAAAAATCACAACGAAACATAGGGCGTTTGTTATTTCTTTAAATAACTATATGGAACGCATGCTTCGACCTGTCTTCAGAAAATGAATCATCGATACGTACTGGATAGGATGCTGTGTGGATTCAAGAGTTGTCAAGAAGCAGTGGCGAAGAAGAAATAATTTCCTAGATGAATGTCTTCTGGGTTGTAGCGCCGTGTAGTCTGATTAGAAGTTCAGCTGACGTTTCATTGGTATTTGCTGCCTCCATCATCAGGGCGATGGCAGCCATTTCGTACTCACCGAAGTGAGAACCTCAAATCAAATAATTTCCTTCCACGACCTTTGTTTCCAAGCCTGTAGTCAGTCATTGAGTTATATAAATGAATAAAAACTACAGTTTATTACACAAAATAAAAATGTCCGAGGTAATTTAAAATAAGTTAAAAACGCGTGAATGTACGTGAACAGAATGACAGAAAACTGGAAGGAGCCACGCCTCGTATAAATCTTGGTCCCCACTCTTGTCCATTGTCACATGGTTTGGCATTAAGCAGACATAATATACAAGCAACGATGCTGGGAAAACAATTTTATAACATCCTTGAAGGAAACTCCTTCACATGATCATGACATTCGAACTGCGTGTAATATTCTTACTAAATATTTACTTTGTTTCTGTTCTATGGTTTCTACATCACGAGAGCAGTAAGACGGTTCTTAGGATGTTGAATGATATTGCCGAAGTGTCATTTAGACATGCTCCATGTGGACTACTCTTATGTCATTTAACCAGGTACATGCCTGACCACCATTTGCACATATCTGTCTTAACAGACTAATAAAACTATAAACTTATGCTTTCAAATCAGACTTTGTCAACAATCTGTAGGGTGTAAGTGATAACACCCACATTACAAAACCTCGGATTTACGATTGCTGCAAACCAAACCTTCGTGTCGCATAAACTTTCTTCACTGCCACAAATGAAAATCACAAAATCAAAGCACGGCAATAAAACGTTTGCGTGTAAGACATAGTCAATTCACTTACGTAAAGCGAGAAACCGAATTATTGTGCCAAAACCATTACGTACAGTCTGGAGGAAATTCAACTGCTTGATTAAGGAAGCCGTCCTTGCGAAATATACATTACCAGTACATTTTATTTGGCGTGGGGGATACACAGTTATCTGCAGAAACCGAGTTGTTGCAGAATTACCATTACAACTGGTGTGGAAGAATGCCATAATTAATCATTATAGTGTAAGTATTATACATCTGGTGTATAGGAAATGTTGCTAATAAAAATTACGTTAAGTACAATTAAAATTATCTAGGTTTTCACGGAAGTGAGCATTTATATTATGGTATGGATTATGATTACGCGTAGTCTTGTAAATGGTTGCCAATATTTCGGAGTAACTCTGAAAATGGAGGCGATATGTTTCTCCGAAACGTTAACAGCCTTCAAGACTATCTGGTGTCACAGTTTAAAAGACACACAAATTAAATTGCAGTTATGTAACACTGATTTTGCGAAAAACCAGTTTAGTTGTGTGGACTACAAACTCTGCAAATCAGTGACTGCCACAAATTCTACGTATTATATGCTGCAGCATCGTAAATTAACAGCACAAACATTTTGTCCTCGCGTCCAACTGTTTTGGCGACGACTCGATCAAATGTTTCAGGCTATTATACATGTTTGTTGTGCGCTTGGCAATAGTATTCTCAAGGTGTGATATCGCTGCGTTTCTAAACTCATTACGATGTTGACAGCATTCAGCCACTCCTGTATTTCTTCACGCGCATTCTAGAAATTATTTTGCTTTGAACGAGATGGAATTCAGGTTTCGAGGTTGCGATTCATCGACAAAGGTATCGATAGACCTAATTCATTGCATGCATGTGAATTATATTCTCTGTGCGAAGGGGAGAAATGCTAAAAAGCTCCCTTCGCCATCTGAAAGCGAAGGTTGTTGTAGAATGTTAAACATTCCTGCGTCGAATTCGTGGAGTCCGTGTTTTGATTCTCGGCCAGGAAACAAATTTACACCCTAGGCGAGCTTCGAACTTGCACGGATAAATAAAACCATTTTGTCGGTAATGACCACATCGGCCACTTGACCGAATCCTCATCAGAAGACCGATTACCTTGACTGAGGTTTCGTGATATTTGTCAA